TAGTAAGAAAAACAAATGAAAAATGCGAACTAATGTAACGTCGTATGGTGAATTTTTGTTCGTATCGTGGAGCAAAAATATGTTCGAATTTCATGTCGTATCCTGAAAATTTCGTATGCTGGGGCGTTCGTAACCTGAGGTACCACTGTATATATATATAAAACGATATTGCATATAAATGTACGAACAAATAAAAACCCAGTGAAGCCGATACCTGCAGCTAGTAAGAAATAATTTCAGCCGGAATTTTTGTCTTTTTAAGCTAACAAATAAGCAAAATACGTCGATGTGATAAAACAATTCCCGAAATTTTACATTGTTTAGTGTATTCTTGCTTTCTCATCTTTTCAAAAATTATAAAGTGAATTAAAATTGAAATTAGTTTTTTTAATGCAATCTGAAAAGGTAAGTAAAACGATCAATCTCTTTTCTTACATGTTATTTTTAATAGGCCACACTTATCATTCGAAATTGTAACGATAAAAATTTTGAAATTTTAATTTTTATCGAAAAAATAAATATGTTTTACTATTATGTTTTGATATATAATACTTCTGAAAGTATTAATTGCGAACTTAACAATTTATAATAATTTCCACAACGAATATTTTTTAAAGGATGAGAAAAAGAAATATGAATGCCCTGAATGTAAACAAATATTTCTCAGCAAATCGCTCTTAGATGTGCATCTAAGAACTCATACTGGTGAAAAGCCATTCATATGCGATATTTGCGGAAGAGGTTTTGCCACCTCTGGAAATTTAAGAAGACACGAAAGAATTCACTCGGAAGAACGACCATTCAAATGCAACTACACAGACTGTGGATACGCTACAAGAAGGAAATTTGATCTGTTATCACATGTCAAACGATTACATCCACATGCAATTGCTTCTGAAATTATTATTGTAAGAATTATATTTATGTTTATTTCTGCATTTAAGTCCATAAGTATTTTATGAAATAAATTATATCAAATTTATTAACTTAAATATAAAATATAATATTATAATGGCCTACATAACTGATTTAATTATAAATTAAAACATAAATTACAGTGAAAGATTAAAATATATACTTTTTATATCTGTACCGTAAAAATCGTAAATATTAATTACGAAATAATTTCTTCAACAATAAGCAATTATAATGCATACAAAATATGAACGAATTTAAGAAATATATTAATATTTAACATCAATTTTTAAATGCTAATATTTCAGTCTTGTTTTTTAGTAAGTAATAAACAGCAAATAATGATTTATAAATCATTTGATACTTAGATTCCCCGGATAAAATCGAAAGAAGATCATAAATGTGACGAATGCGGTAAAAGTTTTCCATGGTTATCCACTTTAACAAGACGTCTAATATCTCATGGAAAAAGTCGACCGTTTTCATGTGATATTTGTAAGAAAACTTTCAAACATAAATTTGACTTAAAAAGACACATGAAAATAGCACATCCACAGGAACAAACCGCATCTGGTTCCAACGTACGTAAAGAAATTTTGTGAAATTAATCATTTAAAATTTACTTGAATATTATAATGTAAGGATACTTATTTAGCTTGTAAAAGATTTTTATAATCCCTTATCAGATTTTTTCGAGGTGACTTGTTTACATTATTACTGT